CACAAACCTGTTTCCTGCCCCCCCACTTTGTCACATTCACATGGCGGGGCCTCGACCCAGGGAACTAGGGTTCCACAGAGCACAGTTTGAGGGATGGAGCCCTGGGGGTGCAGAGCCCTCATCAGGCACACACTGGCTGTGTCCCCCCCCCATCCATCTGGATGGTTGTTTTTAATAAGAAAAATGGAATTTGGTATTGAGTGCATGGCTCCCCATGTGCTGAGGGATCCTGTCTGTCTTGTTCTTTCCTGGCATGGCTGCAGCCTCTGCCAAAGAGGACCAGACCCTTGGTCCATCTGTTCACACCGGCCGTGGAGCCTAAAGTGCGCCTGTGGGTGGGCGCGGAGCAGGCTGCTGGAGACCAGGGCTAGCAGTAAGCAGGCAGGAAGCGGAGCTGTGAGGGTGGAATCCTGGGCCCAGGAGATGCTGAGCAGATGTCCTGGGTGATGCAACACCCCCCGTAAAGGAAGGGGATGGGTTTCTGGAACTCTCAAGCTGCGTTCTCAGCGCCCGTGCTCTCACAGAGGACACGTGCTCATGGGCAATTTTCTGTGGCCAGGAGCCCCGGGCATTTATCCCAGGACTCCCAACTCTGGGCATGTGGCTCGGGGACTGGGGGAGGCAGCTCTCTGTGCCTGTCGCCATGGTGATGGCCCTCACTGTGACCTTGTCCTGACTCTGGCCAAAGTCACAGAGGGTGGAAGGAGCAGGACATGGCAGGAGGTGGAGGTGAATCTAGTCTGGGATATAAGACCAGTCTCTGCACCAACCGGGAGCCACTTGCCTAGTGAGCACCTGCTCCCACGCTAGGATGGGTGTCTGGTCCCAGCGCTTGCAGAACCCGACCACTGCCCCTGCCAGGGTCTCCCCCTTAGCCTCAAGGCTTGACGTCAGAAGGCAGGGGCGTCTAGGACCGGGCAGTTCAGCCTGCCTATTAATTCTCACGTGCACCTCTCCAAGTAGACAACGGACCTGTGGCCTTGCAGAACCCTCCGGAACAGCTGTGTAAACGGAGTGTAGGAGGAAAGGAGCATGTTCACATCCTCAACCCTCTCCTGAAGGAATGAACGGAAACAAACATCCAGAGATGTCCCTCGGGGTGTTGGGTGCAGAGACAGAAGCGTGGCCCCTGTCAGGACAACGCATAAACCCCCACACACTGCACTGTTCCCAACAGTGACCGGCCCCCCAGCACAGCGCAGTGCTCCCTGAGATACTGTGCCCTGCAGCCCCCATGCCTGAGACCCCACACAGCCTGGGAGGAAGCTGGACCAGCTGTCCATTTGTCCTCTCTGCTCTGCAGAGCTGGCAGCAGACCGGGCCTCGGAGAGCCACAGCGCTACCCCGGAGATGTGCCTGGACCCGGGGCTCCCAGGGCCTTTGGGGGATGGAAGGCTAGTGTGTGGGCCGGTCTTCTGGAATAACGTCCAGAGCTGCAGGCTGACAAGATCCAGTTCGGGCTGCCCTGCACTCCTGTGCCACCCACTGTCTACCATTACCCACCTCGGCAGCAGACCCCAGAGCCGGCTCAGGGCCCACCCACATGGCTGCTGGGAGCCATCCACACTTGAGCCCTGAGCCCCTCTGCGTGCCATGGAGACACTGGTGCCCTGGGCCGGGATTCCAACTTGCTGCCGAGCCGGGTCCAGTTAGCCAGTGGTCACCCTGAAGTAGGACCCCTGCCAAGTGCACTGTGGACAAGGGCACTTTGAGAGCCCCGGTTCAAATTCCACTTTCCAGGAGCCGAACCCTTTACATCTGCTCTGGTGGTGCAAACTTCCTTCACTTACTCTCTTAAGCGACAGGACAGTTTGCTTCTTGTTGGCATTCGTCAAAGCCAGGCTTCGGGTTTTGGGGAGAGAAATTGGTAGGTGGAAACCAGTCCCCACAGGCCCAGGCAGGTTTAGAGCCTGGAGAGGGTCCCAAGTGGTCCAAAGCCTGGAAAAGCAACTAAGGTTGGCGGGCGGGGAGTGGCTAACAAACGCCTCACAACCCGAGAGCAGTTCTCCACCATGTGAGCACAAAGCCGAGCAGACCCACATTCCTGGCACTGCTGTGCAGGGCAGGATCCTCTGAGTTGCCTTGGAATTGGGACAGCAGGGAAGGGTCCGGCACGAGGTGGTGCCCACACTGGTGGACCCTGTCAGGGTTGCTCACGCCTCTGCCTGGAGTTGCCTCCTGCTGGCTCAGGGCCATGGGAGCCCAGGGCTCCGGGCGGGCGGGCAGGCATGGAGCACCATGCCCCTGCCCGCCCGGGGTGGGGGTGGGGGCTCGCCGGCCCAGCCATGGCTCTGCCCTCGAGTCAAGTCTGGTCGGTTTATGTGTAAACTGTGATGCACCCAGACCATAGAAGAGTGAGTTCTTAGGCCAGGAAGACGAGGACCCTCACATGCATGTTACTAAGTGAGGGGTGCGTCTGAAAAGCCTATCTCCCAGACGACTCCAGCCACGTGACATTCTGGAGAAGGCCGAGCTACAGAGATGGCAAAGGGTCAGTGGCTGCCCCGGGCTTGAGGAGAGGGGCGGATGAGTCCGGGAGCACAGAGGGTTGTCAGGGCAGAAGGGACTCTGACACCTCGACGGACACCTGTCACTATACATTTGTCCAAGCCCAGAGGATGCACAACGCCCACCAGGTGACCCTGAAGTAAACTCTGTACTTCCACTGATGAGCAGGTGTCCGTCTGGGCTTGAAGGTTGTAACTAGTGTGTCACATGACACACCAACGTGGGGACCGTCTACACCCTGTGCTCTGTCTTTCTGTAAATCTAAGAGAGTATTAACGAAACAACAGCTAAAGCACTGGAGTGGCAAGAGTAGATGGCAGGACCCGGCCAGAGCAGAGCCTTAAGGCGGCCGAGGCAGCCAGACAGGGGTGGAATTTGGACTTGGAGTCTGTGCATGGAGTATGCCTTCACCTGCAAGAAACTGTGTAACTGATGAATTAGAAAAAGTGGGACAGGGGCGCCTGGGTGGCTGAGTCGTTAAGCGTCTGCCTTCGGCTCAGGTTATGGTCCCAGGGTCCTGGGATCGAGCCCCACATCGGGCTCCCTGCTTGGCAGGAAGCCTGCTTCTCCCTCTCACTCCCCCTGCTTGTGTTCCCTCTCTCGCTGTGTCTCTGTCAAGTAAATAAAATCTAAAGTGGGACAGCGAGAACAGCTGAAAGGAATAAAAGGAAACACAAAGATGTGAAATAAGTCCCAAACTGCCAGTTGAGATGTGTGCACCTGCTAGTTAAGAGCTCACATCGGTCCCCATAGGGTCTGCTGCGATATAGGCCCAGTACCCAGGAAAACAACATGCAAGCCTGGCCTGACCAACAGCCCCCGTGGGGCCGAGTCCGCGTCTCGCAGCAGCCCTGCCTCTGCCCTGCACGCTGCGCCCCAGGAGAAGCACCGTGAGCAGAACCGGGCGGACCACTGCCACCAACGGACCTCACACACCGGCAGCCACACATCGTGCACACCCACACCGGCATGTCATCCCCAGGGACGGATCGCATGCACAGCGTGACCAAGCGGAGTTTCTCCTGGGAGGGGAGCCTTGTCGCACCACGTCAGCGACTTATGGGCGCAGAAAGTGATCTTCTCACAGCGGGTGCGGAAATCCACTCGTGACTGACAGTACCTGAAGTAAACTAGAAACAGACGCCGCACGACGCACCCTCCACCAGCCTCCCCTAGGCTGTGGGAGTTGAGAACATGGCAGGAGCCGCGGGGACAGGGCCCGGACCGCCGGCGGCGACACAGCGAGCCCCACTAGCTGAGCGCTGCTGCCGCTGCCCCAGGAACTGCCGCGGGGTGAGCAGCCAGGTGACGATGGGCACTGATCAGCCCAGAGGCCATCACACCTGACGACTGCGGGGACATTCGTGCCGCAGAGGAAGCGCAGAGGAAGATGTCTTATGTGAAAATTCCATTTACAGTATCAACAAAGACAAGGAGGCTGTGCGAACACACCCCAGTGTGGACAAAACCTCCTGCCCCAACCCGCGGGGATCAGTTTTGCTCGCGTCCCGCTGGATCCTGCGCACCACTGCCCACCGTCAGGCCCTCAGCCACCGCGACGGCCCGCACGACAAAGGCAGATACCTGCACAGCCAGTGAGGAGGCGAAGCAAGTGGGGCTCCCGGGCTGGAGGGAGAGGAGACGGTGCCGTTCGAGGTCACGCCCGCCTGCTCACGGGCCTCCCCTCACACACGCGGCCATAGCAGGTTTACTTGTAACGGCGAGAACCTGGAAACCCCCGGAGCGGCCACTGACAGAACAGGCTGTTTGTACGTGGGACACGGGAATCGAGGGGGCGCGGCCCGACAACCCCCGACACCTCGGCCAAGTGGAGCGGGCACAGTGCGCCCCACAACGCTCCCGGTCTGTGCACTTCGCTAACTGTCCCCCCACAAATCAGCTACGACAGAGGAGGTTAAAGTCCCAGCAACTAGTGAATCACTGAACACTACATCAGAAACTAATGATGTACTATATGCTGGCTAAGTGACTTTAAATTAAAAAAAAAAAAAGGAATTTAAAGTCCCAACAGTGTTTTTCTTGGAGGTCAGCAAGTAGATGCCCCAGTTTAGGGAAAGGAGAGGCTGGAGACTGTCAAGGCCCCAGAGGAAGTCAGTGGTGGAGCCTCCGCTCACTGGGGAGTGGGCCTGTTCTACGGGGATGGAGGCTGGGGGGCTTGTGGTGCAGGAATGGGGCAGAGTGGCGGGCTGGGGCACCCCGGGGCTAAGGGCTCAGCACAGTTGTCCACTTAGAAATAAAACCCCGCCAGCCTCTTCCTCAGAGACTGCCTTACGACGGCTGGACAGCTAACCTGTGAGAGGGGTTACCGTAACCATGAGAGGAAACTCCTAGAACCCACCGCGGAGGGCTTCCCAGGCGCATCCTCTAGCCATGAGGGAGGAGCAGGTCCTGGGCCATCTGCCTCGTCCCCCCAGCAGAGAGACTGATCTCGGGGACACAGTTACGGGGGTGACTCTCAGGTGTGGGCTCACCTGGAACAGGATCTGTAAGACCCCATGGAGGATGCACATCCGCCGTCCAAGGAAGATGAAGAAGGGCACCACGAGCTCCAAGAAGTGGTTGCTGAGCGTCTCAAAGCGGTGGACCCACCATGGGGACTGGTGCAGGAAGTAGGCCACAGGGTTGGGTACTGGCTGCGTCTGGGGAACAGAAGGAGGTCCGTGAGCTGAGCCTGGAGCTCCACCCCACAGGGGACTTCTGCTACCCTGGCCCTGCCCACCCTGTGCCCACTGGCTGTCCCAGGAGAGCATCCTGGCCGGGAAAGGCTCAGGGGACGCCAGTCCTGTGGACCCTTCTCCGGCAGCTCAAATGCCTGTGGCCAAGATGCCAGACTGGCGTTGGTGGGGGGAGGGTGATGGAACCGAGCATCTCAGCCTTCTTGGGGTGCGCCTTCTCCCTGCCTGATCTCCTGTAATTCTGATGCTGACCCCTCGGGATACCCCGAGGGTCCTAGAGACCCAGGGGCAAAGGGATGGGCACTAGGGGAACCCAGGTTTCAGGCCAGTGCTCACATGTAGTCACATGCGGAGATTTCCGCTCGGAGGCTGGTGGAAGCTGGGGGTTCCGGCCTTGTGTGTGTTCCTGAGAACAGCCTGCAAGCATGTGTGAGGGGGGTGGGGGCGGCTCATCCCGGGGGCCTGCGTGTTGACTCAGCCGTGGTGTTGGCCGCCCTAGGGCCCAGCTGACGGGCCCTGTGCCTCTGACCGCAGCGGCCCAGTCTTCCCCCAGACCCCTGGCAGCAGCCGAGGCTGGGAGCCGGCCACGCAGAAGGCTGTGGTGGGGGGGGTGCACTCCCAGCCAGAGGGGACGCCCGGGTGAGGACATGCAGCCATCAGTGAAGGGCAGGGGTGCTCCACAGATAAGAACGGCACCCAGAGCGCTCCGATTCCGGGAACGGTGTGCGGCCCAGCACACCCACCACCCCACCCCCACTCGCACCAAGGTCAGGGACCCTGGGCGTTCGAAAACAGGTGTGGGGGGACCCCAGCCCAGGTGAGTGGCCTTGCTCCTTTTCTCGCCGCCACGGGGTCTGAAGCCTCGTGCGCCGCCATTCTCCCTCCTGGGGACTTGAGCTCTCCACGCACACACCATCTGAGGGGAACGCCGGGGCCGAAGGAACAAATGGGCAATAGTTGTTGGGTTGGCCTGGCTCCAGCTTTGAAACTCAAACACACTTCTGATACGAAACGACCTTTACTTGTCACAGATGGTTTAGCTCCTGCCGCTGCCCCTGGAGTCCTGCGCCCACCCCACCTCCCCGCCCCCCAGTCTCTCCTGCCCCCGGACACAAGGAGGTGCCTGTGCTGCTGGCCCAGGTGCGCCGGCCCCGTGGTCCCCTGAAGAGCACGGAGCCTCCTGCCTGGACGCGCAGGGTGGCGGGGTCGGGGAGAGGCGGCAAGAGGAAGTCCTGCAAACGGCAGCCCTTGGCGGACTTACGCCCCTCCCCCCACTCACACTCAGGGCTGGACGTGGCTCCAGGTAGGACAGCCGTGGGGGAAGGGCCAGCCACTGTCCCATCCGGTTCGAGTTTTCTTGCTAACTTTCCATTTGGACACCATTTCTGACTCAAGAGGAAAGTTAGAACAGGAAAGAAAATCCCTGAATGCCACGCTCCGTGCCCGTGCTCCTTGGTCTTCCCACCACAGAGCAGAGAGAAGCGAGCTGCTGGGCCCCTCAGCACTTGAGTGTGAAGGGCCAGCGCGCTCGCGGCACGGTGATCACAAGCAGGGACGTGGGCTGTTGTGCCCCACGGGCCTGACCGGGTGTGTTCAACGAAAGGTGACCCCAGGCCATGTTGCCTGCAGCCCCCACGCCTCGCCAGCCTCCCATCTGAGCTTTAGGAAACGGACAAGCGCATTTGCACAATGTCCCTCAGGGTGGGTCTGGGGAGGCCTGCAGGGGTGACGGGCACGTCCCGGGGGGCCCAGGGTGGCCGTGTGCCTTGGTGTGCTGGCGTCCACCTGGACTTCTTGGTTGAGGGGTGTCGGCCAGGCCCTGCCCTGCCCCTTGAGGCTGACAGGACCGGCCTCCTGCGTTCCAGCAGCCTGGGATGGTTCTCGCCAGAATCCATGGCTCCCTTGGCCTCTGAATGGTGACTTCTGGGTCCACTGTTCCTTCTGCATTTATTAGCTGGCTTTCTACCACAAGGTCGTGTCCCTCCAGCCTGTTCATCAGCACTGGTGTGGGCACGTGGGCTCTAATTCTTCACGGCCACTCATTCTGATGTGTCCACAGCACTTTCAGAGACTCTCCCTGCTTTCTGGCCCTCAAGATGTTCGGGGGTCATCTGAAACCCTTGCTGCTGCCGCCCCTCGGTGCGCTGCTTTCCCCGGGGAGCCCTGGTCCCTCTGAGGGGAGGCTGGGAGTAGGAACCCAGCCTGGGCGAGAGGGCCGCTCTCTCTGGGCCCCTCCGTGGGCAGAACTAGAAAATAGGTGAGTGACTGTGTCTCCGCTGTCCCGCACCCACGCCATCTCGCTTACAGGGCTGTGCGTCTCCCTGTGTTCTGAGTGGATTTCTGCAGATGGGGGGGGTCTCCCCATCTTTGCCCCAGGGGCTCTTGGCCACTGACACCTGTTCCCACCTGTGAGTGTGAAGGGCGCCCCTGCCACGTGGCGTCTGGGTCATTTGCTCTCTCCTGAGGTTTCTGCCACACCGAGTCCCCCAGCTGTGCAAACCCGGGACCGACATGTGGCCGAGACACTCGGTGGATGGGACACGTGGTGGCCGCTGCTGACGGAGGAGTGCAGCGCATGTCCCATGATGCGGCCTTCCCGTTCACTGTCCCACGGGGTCCCCGAGACAGGCAGCCCCGTGTCCTTTGCCCTCCAGCGCAGATGGTCCACGACTGGCCGAAAAGCACAAAGGTCTTCGTGTCAGCTCTGCAGAGAGGTGTCTTGGGCTGGGTCCCTTCTGAAAAGCCGCTTGGTGCAGCTCTGTCGGGGCCGCTCGGTGACAGGATGCAGACATGAGGAGAACGAGCAAGCACGCGGGGAGAGGACGTGCTTCCCTTTGGCCTTCGGAGCAGTCACTCCTTCAGAAGTCACTGCACCAGTGGGTCACATCTGCTTCTCGGGAGCTGTGCAGTCCTCCTGCATCCGGTGAGGACTGCTCAAGGACGGGCAGGCCCGGCTACTGGTAGCACACGTCTATGAAGAAAAATAAACAGAGCTCGCCGTGCTTGCTTGGAGCCTGGGGAGGGAAGCCAAACTCTTCACTGACTCAGGGAGAAGCTGCCTCCTGCGTCCATTCCTTCCCGTGGAGGGGTGCTAAGGCCGAGGTGCAGGCAGCGGCAGTGAGCACGCGCTCGGCTTAGCCTCAGGGCTTTCCAGCAGAAATAACCCGTCTGTCCGGGTCCGGGAGAAGCTGAGCCGTCCCCGCGGCCTGGCAGAGGCCCAGCCTGCAGGCTCTCCAGCCGCCAGCCCCACCTTCGGGCAGCGATGCTCCATCCACCCGGGGCCGGCTCACCGTGTCCTCTGCAGGCTGGCACCTGGGATGAGGGGTGGGAAGGACACCGGGCTTGCAGGGCATCTGACGCCGCCCCCAGGTCACGCCTGCGGCAGCGGGAACCCAGACAGAAGACCGCTGAGGGAGTGTATGAAGGTTTTGAGGAGAAGGCTATGGCCCAAATTGGTAATCTCCGTGGGGCAGCTGCTGCGAACTCTTGGCGCACGCCTGTAAAGCACTAAGACCTGCTCAGCAGAAGCCCCCACCCGACAGCGCCAGGAAGCCTGCGCAGCCTGGGGGCAGCCGGACGGCCGGGTGGTCGGCAGGTGTGAGCCCAGAGTGGCCCGTGCCCTCCACACACGCAGGCGCCGTGGAATTCCTCCAAAGTACGGCTCTACTTTCCCAGGGCCCGCACCGCCCGCGGAGGGACTGGACTCCTCCTGTGGGTTTATGACCTGCTGGGCGCGGGGGTGGGGGGGGCAGTTCTACCTGTGCTGTCTGCACGGCCGGGGAGGGTCCTGAGGCCTCCCTTCTCCTGCAAGCCCGGGACAGAGTTTTATTTTTGTTTGCACTGAAGCTGGAAAAAAACACTGTGTCATAAAATCTGGCCGTAAACCCTGGAAACGGCGTCTGGAACATCGCACCCCATAAAGCAGGGGAAGGAGAGCCCAGTGCTGCCTCTGGCAGGAAGCTCGGCCACACTCACCCTTGTGGTCACAGCTCGTTGGAGAATTGCGGCCAAGTGTCCAGAGGGCCGCTCAGTTTGGATGCCGGCAGCTGGCCAGCCCTGACCCCTGAACATTCTACAGCTGGTTCCCTTAAGAAGAGACACTTTTAAAGAAGAAAAACATGAGGAAAACATGAAGGGTGAGGAAAACATGAAGGGTGATAAAAACAGTTCCAGGATTTGGGGAAAGCAACGTTCTTTCATGTTGGCTCCAGCGCCGTCCCTTCCAGGTCCTCAGTGCTAAGTCTGAGAGAGACAGAATGGCTTTTTCAGCCATTTTCCCATTTTAGGGACTGTAAACTATGTGTTTGAGGTTTTAATGAGAAAGGGAACACACATAATTCTTGTCTGAAAAACAAGTTTCTGCAAACCCTCAAGCTGCCCACATTGCGTTTCAACAGGAGACTCTGTGAAGTCGCACCCCCTCCATCAGCCCAGGACCCCTGCCCCTCGCGGAGCCAGGGGCTGAGGTGTCCACACAAAGGCCACTGGGAAGTCTGAGTTCCCATCTGTCTTCGGGGTGGGGGTGCTCCCCTGTACACCAGAGGCGTCTGCCTGCTGGCAGTTCCCTGACGGCAGGAGAGGGCAGATCACTTGCACCTGTCTGGTGAGGGTCTTAGGATAAAACCCGAAGACTGATGGTGTTTGCGCACGGCTGTTGGCTGGCTTCCCATGGGCACCGGGAAGGGTAGGGCCCCAGATGTCGGGGTCGAGGGCTCCGTCCTGAGTGAGGCCACGGCGGGCCCAGTGGTGGCCACACGGGTGCTCATCTCGGGAGCTGGGGCCACCCGAAGGCCACCTCCCCTTCCCACCCAGATGACAGACGATGGAGAAGGAAGAGCGAGCTGTAAAGGTGGTGGCGCACAGGACAGGGACAGGACTGGACACTGGGGTAGGCTGTGGTGGTGCCTCCCCAAGAGCTGCGCCCCAGCACTCCCCCTCGGGGGTGCACTTCCCGCCTGACCGTGGGGAGAGGCCGCATCCCAGCAAGAGGGCAGCACAGCCACATCTTTCAAGGATGGACGTGAATCTGCCAACCTAAGACTCTGTCCCTGTCAAGATTCTCCCAAGCAAGGGGGAGAGAGGCCTTTAGACCAAAACCCTGCCGGCAGCAAACCTGCACACGAGCAAGGTAAGGGACGTCCGGTCATCAGAGAGAAAACACATGGAGGCCAGGTCTACTCGGAGGGGAGAGCCCTGGAAATGGTGAGTATGAGGGTGAACGCAGGAGGCTGTCTGCCAAGTTTCAAAGGATAATTTGAACAAAAATAGTAACAAGGTGGTACCGTAATCGTGTGACCACAGCTGCAGGAAGACCAGGAGGGAAAGTAAGAGTGTCATTGTCATGGTCCCATTCAGTCCCGTACGACTTACAGGATAAGCACAGTCCTCACTTGGAGGAAAGCTGTGACGTGCGCAAGAGTCTTTGTGAACCCTAACACTACCACGAAAACAAAACAGAGCTAATAAGCCAAGAGAAGTAAAGAGAAGGAGCTGTAGAAGACATCTAAGTAATTCAAAAGAAGCAGAAAAAGATAAAAAAAGATCTAAACAAATGGGAGAAAGAGCATACGAACAGCAGGATGGTGGTCTGAAACCATGTCAAAGTGCTCACTTGGTGCAGACGGTCAAAACACGCCATTGAAAGGCAGATTTTAGGGGCGCCTGGATGGCTCAGTCCATTAAGTGTCTGCCTTCAGCTCAGGTCATGATCCCAGGGTCCTGGGATGGAGCCCCGTGTCCAGCTCCCTGCTCAGCGGGGAGCCTGCTTCTCCCTCTGCCTGCCTGCCTACTTGTGCTCTCTCCCCCTCACACACTCTCTCTCACAAATAAATAAAATCTTTAAAAAAAAGGCAGAATTGGTCAGACTGGATAAAACAACAAGACGCAAGTGCACACTGCGTGCGAGACACACACTTCAAAGGTGAGGGCGCATGGAGGGGAGCAGTCAGGCCCGGGAGGACGTGGCCGTTCCAACACGAGTGGCAGGCGAGCTGGAGCATCTGCGGGGGCGTCACACAAGCAGACCTCAGAAGGACCGTGACCAGGGATGAGAGGTCGTTTCTTAAGGCTGATGGAAAGAGGATCACGAGGAGGTCCCGGCACTCAGACACCTAATGCCCTCGTACCAGAAGTTCTAAACGCACTGAGCAGAACCGCAGACGACCATGGCTAGAGATCCACAAGTCCACAGTTCCTGCTGCACATTTCAGGCCCCTCTCTCAGCACTGGCTAGGACAAGGAGACAAAAACAGGGACGTGGGAGGCCTGAAGCCACTTATCAAGCACTTGACTTCACGAGCACTCACACAACACAGGACATTCCTTTTTTAGGCTCAAATGCAACATTCACTGAGGCCATATTCTGGGCCACGAAACAAGCCTGAATAGATTATAACACGTGTCATCTCCGACAATGACGGAATTAAATTAGAAATCAGTAACAGAAGGATACCTGCAAAGTTCTCACCTATTTGGGAACTCGGTCACACTGACTGACTAGCCTTCACGGAGTACACACTCCAGTATATGTGTCACTAATCTGATGACAGCCTCGGGGTTGTTACCAGTTTAAAGTCGGGGAAACAGTCGAGCTGTGAGGTAAGTTCCTTAGGAGCATATAAGCCAGAGTGGCCGCGAGGGGGCAGGCAGCACAGGTCTGTATGAACAGCAGGGAGTGACATGGCCCTGGGCTCAAGTCTCAGTGCTAGCAGCAGTGACCGTCGCTGACCCTGAGGCTGTGTCCCTGCCTCTCATGGACTTGGCCTTGGTCTGGTGGGGCTTGCCCTTCCCGGTGACCCTGGGGAACGGGCTGCACCAGAAGCGCCTGGCCAGACCGTGTTCCCCTCCTGGCCCCAGCGCTGACTCCTCCAGTCCCCAGTACATACAAAAAAACATTTTCCCATAAAATCACTAAAACCGCCAAGGGACAAAGCATATAAGCCCTGACTCCCAACCCGCTGGAGGTAACTCAGTCACGGCTTCTATCAAGTTAACATTTGTAGCTTTCATGGTAATGTCAACCTTGATTCAAATTACTTCCAGACTAACCGACCCTCATCAAGTTACGGTACAAAACAGCTGGCAACCCATGTCCTGGGGCTGCAATTAAAGGTAGGACCCCCTGGCCTGAGACACACACAGAAGCCTCCTGAAAGCCTCCTGAGCTGGGGCTGGTCTGGGAAGGCAGGAGGAAGGTTCTGCTGTGCTGGGTGGGGGCACTGGCGCAGCACCTAAGGCCATGGGCATACCTGGAAAGGGTGTGTGGGGTGTGAAACACGGTGGTCAGTGCTCTGGCCCAGCACTGGCTGCCTGGGAGGGGCGGAAGGCTCCCGCTGGCACGGCCATTCTGGGCGGCAGGGCCCGTCCCTGGGGCTCAGCCCACCTCAGTCACCCCTGTGAGCACCCTGGCGTGGCTGCAGAGGTCGCGGGCATCCAGGAAGGAGAGCCTGGCCTGGGCCCTGGGGTCAGTGTGCTTAGAAGGACCACAGGTGGGGCAGGGCTGGCTGCAGCTGGTGACCATCCTCCTGTACGAGGTGGGTGTTCCAGAACCCTTGGTGGGGCCTCTGCAGCCCCCACTGGCAGGGCAGATCTGGCTGCTCTTCTTCTGGGGGTGTGGGCACAGCCCCTGCCCAAGGCCAGCCCTGCCAGTCTGTCTGAAATAACCGGGCATGCCTGAGCCGGCTCTGCTTGCAGCCCTGATGAGAGGGACCGTGTCATGCTTGGGACCAAAAGACTATTAAATTTCCCCAATTCTGCAGCAACAGGATTACATTCTCTCCCCCCACCCCCCCGGCCCTGCCCACCCCAAGCACGTGTAGAATGGATTCCTTGAGACCCTTGTAAGCTCTGCTTTACCTCTGGGGGAGGGAGGGGTGCGGCCAGGAAGGGGGAACCTGCCCCTGGCTGGGGGTTCCGTGTGCAGCACAGCAGTCCCCTCTGCAACCCACCTGTTCACGTTATTAAAACAAAACAAACCACCTGGGGAAACCTGGCAAGCTCCTTCCTGATGACAACCGACTTGGGCAAATCAAGTGGAGACAGACGGAACATTCCACAGCAAAGTGGCTCACGGCTGGTGCTGACGTCCCTACCGCTGAAAGCAAGTCCGTGTCCGCAGGCATTTTGACACCAGTGATCCCATCTATGTTGGGGACAACTCAAACATCAGGAAACCGGACACTGTATCCTCCAGCCTGTGAGGGGGACAGACAGGCAGACGCAGAAGCGGGTGCCACGAGCCTCCCCCCAGTCACAGAGCGCCTGGGCGGGGATGCTGCTGGGGAGCAACGGCGTCAGGGCCTGGCCTGTGTCCCGGACGGGGCCTAGCCAGGCCCGGGGACAACAGAGGGCTCCGGCTGCCTCTCCCGGTGACGTGATGGGGCTAAGAGACCTGCGTGGACAGATGCCACATCTGTGCGGGATGGCCTGGGTGTTGGTTTGTCACAATACTTGTCTACTGGGAAGTTTTCTGTCGTGAGAAAGAAAATCACGACAGCAGAAAACTAGGTCTCAGCAGAGACATGCAGTCAAGCCCCAGGCTGCAGTAACCCTCAGCTGTGGCTAACTGGCACCTGAACACGGCTGAAGACGTGGCCTCAGGCGGCCACCCGTGTCCTCCTCGATCTGCTGTCCCTTGTGTAGGGCTGGGATGCTCCCCCAGGTGGGCAGACGGGAGTGCCTGCCGTTAGAGATGGAGGACGTCAGCCGTCTGTCAGCCTCTGTCCCTCCCGCAGCTATGACAGAGCAGATGTGAACCCAGGAGAAGAAACTAGGTGCATGTTGTAAACCATGATAAGATACAAACCGCCCCCAGAATGGAAGAACACGGCCGAGGGTTTCCAACCACTGGTGGTGTGCGCGTCGCCTGGCGGGGGAAGATGCAGGCCAGCTGGGTGAACGGTCACGAGAGCAGGCAGGGGGACCATGCCTGGGGCCCCTGGGCTGCGACAGACATCGGTGTCACCTGGGGCCAGCAGAGCCAGAGACGCGCCCCCCGTGCGGGCAGACTGTGTCCAAGATTTCTGTCAGCGAGGGTGTGCGCCAGCGCACAGAGGCGGGACGTCCTACAGTGAACCGCACATCTGTGCGCGGCCGCGAGACGGGCCCCGGAGCCGGGGTGGCCCTCAAGGTGACACAGCCCCCACCGCGGGCATCCTGATCTTGGGGTGCACGCACGTTACTGTCAGGCGCAACCCTGTGCTCCGAGACCCTGTGGCTATGAAGGGGGACGGCCTCCTGACCGGAGCTGCGTCAACTTTAGGAAAGAGAATCCCTAAGAGAGAACTTGGAATCGGGGGTTCTCCCAAGTGCCCCGGTCTCTACCGCTGCGCTCCCCAGCGGTAACGCTCTGGTTCGAAGGGCAAGTGTACCGGCTTTCTTGCAGGGATGCGGCTCAGAGGGAGGGAGCCAAACGTGGGGCAGGGGCGCGTGCACTCAGAGCCGGGTCTTTGGACAGCCTGTCTTCTCCCACCCTTGCAGATGAGCGGCCTGACGCTTTCAGAAGCACTTTACGCACCTTATGTCTGTGATGAACACATTTTAGATGCTCCATTTTATAGGAACAGTGCCCGGTGTTGCCTCTTAAACCGTAGAAGGAACCATGTGGGGGAATGGGGGCTGCTCACGCTCCGTCACTCGAACCTTCTCAGTGGTATCTGCCAGGACTCCCCCGCTCCAGGGCCTTGAAACCACGGACTTGCGACCCATTTCCCAAGTCCTCCACGGAGCGCACAGAGCTGCAAGGGGACTGTGGCCAGGGGGGTGGGATGTGCTCCAGGCGTATGCCCCTAAGATTGCTGTTTGGGACTAAAGGAGAGGAGATCCCACTCAGTAGGGGAGGGTGGCCTAGGCCAGGCCACCGTGGTAGCCAGCTCCCAGGGTCGCTGTTACCCTCCTGGACTAGGGCATTCGCCTTTGCAGCCTCCAGGCCCTCTGGGGCAGCACGAGGTGCTGCAGCAGTGCTGCAGGGGTGTGGACAGCAAGGAGTTAAGGATGAAGGGCACTGTGCCCCCTCCTCTCCTCCTGCCTGCAGGGCTCTCAAAGACCGGAGCCACTGGGCGCCCTCCCAGTGGGCCCCAGGGCTGAGGGGCTCGTGGACGGGAGGAGCAACGTCCAGGGACACGGAGCTACCGATGGCCCGCCTAGGAGCGCCAAGTGCTCACTGAGAACTGTTACCACCGTGACAAGGAACCATTTTCCACCTCAACATAGCTGAACAGGTGCGTTCGAGACCGGTGGCAAGAGGCCTTCCTGACCGCACAAGACCAAGGGGAAATCTTGAGTAAACCTGGCTGAAGCTGCCCTGACGCTCAGGTGGTTCCCAGTTAGAGAAACGGGCAGCAGGAAGTCAGTGCTAAGGGCCAGGCTGGTGCTCAGTGGGCCCTCGGGGGTGAGCAGGACGAGGCACCATGTGTGTGGACAGCCTTGCGGGCACCCTACGACATGGACGCAGGGGAGCGCATCAGTGACTGTGGGCATGCGGCCCCACGCGTGGCACGGACCCCGGCTCCTGAAGGGCCTGCCGCGGCGTCTGGGCTCCACAAGCTAGCTGCCCCTGCACAGGCTTGAACCTTGGGCTTCGAGGCGCAAAGGATATGACACAAAGTCCCCTCCAATGTGCCACAGGCTGCAGACCTCACAGGTGATGGGAGCAGACAGTGACTGGTGACCCCAGATAGAGGGTCAGCTCTGCGTGCAGGACTTTGGAGCAAAACAACGGCGTCCGTGTCGGTCAACTCTCGCACAGCCTGGGGTGGGGCACCGACCCGACCCCCCAAAGGGCCGCAGGTGGGACCTGCCAAGCCTCCAGCGAGGCGGGACTCCGGCAGCTTAGCGACCGCACCACATGCTCCTCACAGCATACCCCCAGCCGCGGCGGAGGCCCTTGCTCCGTTGCGTGTGTACGTCCAACGTGCGTGAGTCACTGAGGTGTACGTTTGGTAACCAAAGCTTTCCAAAGTTAACAAGTCGGCATCCCGACTAACTTGGACTGAGTGCGGCGGTCACCTGGGGACCTGAACACTGCTGACAGCTTGCTGCCCCGCGCAGAAGGCTTGCGCACCTCACGGCGGCCTGGACGGGACGCAGAGCCGCCGCCTGGCAGCAGCATTTTCCTTTCCTCCTTTGCCGAGCGCCTGGCAGCCGGGTGGCCCTGCGGCCTTCCTCATGGATGCTTTCGCTGGCGTCACCGGCGGAACCCATGAGCCTGGGGACGACGGTTCCTGGGACCTCCTTCTCAGGGGTGACTGGCTTTGCCATGGCGGCTCAGGGCCACCGTGGGTTGGCCTGGGCATGTCTGTGGAGGTCCGCTGCCCTTTCTCTCCCCCATGGTGGCTGATGAACATACCCGCTGGTGCTGCCCCAGCCCCTCTTCTGCTCCTACTGAGTCCCCCAACGGCCACGTGTAGGTAAAGCGAGGACATAGATGGGGGACATGGGGGTGAGCCTGTGGTGTCACATGAGGGCCTCTCTTGCTGGCCTCCTACTCCCTGCAGGATCTGGGGGGCTCACAGGGTTGGGGCGTCAGGGCTCACCTCCAACGACCTCCCTGCAAGGCCTCGCTGTGGTAACACACCATGTGGACAGCATGCCTGTGAGCAGACCGGCTCAGGGTGAAGTAGAAGCAGCTACGAGCAAAGCCTGGGCTTTCGTCTCAGCCGGAAGCCGCTCCCTCCTGCTCACCCATGTGCTGCGCCCCATCGGCCCCACCACTGTCCCCAGCAGGTCCCTCCTATGAGGCTCCTGCCAGTGGTGTCCTGACAGTGAATGAGGCAGGCCCTGCTGCCACCCACCAAGGACTGGAGGGGTCCAAGTCACTGAGGACAGGCCGTGTGGCCCCTATCCTGGTCCCTGACAGGCAGATGACAATGGGTTCTGCAGGCAGCTAACAGCACGGGGGGTCCCAGGCCTGACTCCTCACCTCACCCTAGTTTACAGAGCGTGTGGAAACAAGATCGACTGAAGGAAGGCCCTTGCTTCTTGACAGAGTCAGAGTGGTTCTGTTCCTCCAAGGGACCTGACCCGGAGGCCACAGGCCTACCACTTGATGACCAGGGCCCCACATGGTCATTGAGCCAAGACTCAGCCTGTCCTTGAAGACCGACTTCAAGTGGCCTTGACCTCACACCATACCAACATCACAGGTGCCTGGCCCCCTCCCTAGGATATGGGTCACAGGCCCACCGTCTGCCCAAATCCTGCCCAGGGCTGTGTGCGGAGATGCAGGAACTCTGCCCTGGTGTCCCCTGACTCAAACCCTTCTGGGGACGCACCCAGCTTGGGGAGTGGGTGGGTGTCAACCAGCCTCGCTGTGTGGGCTCACCTGGTCCTCTCCCTGCTGGCCAAGACTCCTTCTGTGGACCGAAATCAGAGTTACAGGCCCTGTATCCACCCTGGTCAAGACCTGCAGGCAGAGAGAGCAGGCTTTGGCACCAAGGGGATTCTAGCACACACTCCCTCTGCACACGCTGGACAGTCACGGGCCCTGCCCACAAGCTGCTGGGGGCCACTGTGGGCTTGTGGCGGGGTCAGGACAGAATGGAGGGCCTCCTAGCTTAGCCCCTGGGGCCCCCTTCCCTCCTGTAGAGCCAGAAACATTTCCTCTCTGGCCCTTTACAGGACATCGGCTCCAGGACCAAAGGAGGGACTCATGGGCCCCTGGGTAGGAGGGGAGGGGAGTCTGGAGGGACGCGGGGAGATCTCCAGTCTGATACCCTGCTAAGCACAGCATCTGTGGGACGTCCCTGCCCCCAGGCTGGTTAACAGATGACACAGCCGCGGACACACCCAGGCCTCCCGAGGCGGTATCTACTGGACACATTCAGGACTGAAAAGCCAGAAGAGGCGTGAGCCTGTCGCAAGCACCTTTTACACAAGAGCAGGTACAAGTCACTTTCCTGTATGGGAACCATAAGCCAGGGGTGGGAGACACGGAAGAAAACGTCCCATCTGACAGGTGGCGCTCCAGGCGTGTCAATGTTTTTGCAGCCGACGAGAGGGAAAGGGCAGCTGGCAGGCATTCACGGTATACATGGGCAAGTGGATGAGGTCGCTCTGACCGAGTGCCCTAGAGTTAATTCGTTCCCAGGGAGACCTGGTCCCAGCCCCCCACAAACATGTGAGCCATCAGCAGGGACAGGAATGTCCAGAGGGGCTTGGACCTGGGTGGGGTCCCAGGGAAGGGGGCGGAGAGGACGACTGCCTAAAGCTTGGGGCCAAGGTGGGGGAGGGGACCATGGAAATCTGAGGACAGCAGGACTCGCACCTCCCACCATGTCCGTCTGCCATGATTTGGGGAACAGGGCGGGCGGCAGAGTGACTCCCACTGTGCACTCTCCTGGGGGCATGTGGGGCCAGCCCTGATGCCAGGAGGGAGGATGCCTAAGCAGGACCATGGACAGTGGTGGAGGGACCAGCGCCCAAGCAGAACGGACCCCGTGACCCACAGCCATGGGGGCCAGGAGCCCCATCTGCCAGCCCAGCACACGGGACACTCTGAAAACTACCTTGTGACCTACCTGTGCTCCGACAAGAAAGCAAGCAGGAGAGGGCATCCCTGTGACCCAAGGCATGGCCTCTAAGAGGCTGCAGTTATAGTACAAGTGCTGATCCCCATGGGTGGGGTGGTGGGGCGGGTGGGGGACAGGGAGCTCGGCCTGCGGCCGCCATGCAACCTACCTCATAGTGGAAGTCCATGCAGGTGAGGTCCCGCCAGCACCGGTCTCCCCGGATCTTGATCAGGCCCTGCCAAGGCAAGACAGACAGGAACATGAGCCACTCCAGAGGCTGGCAGTGGTCCCAGGGGCGTGCAAACCAGCCACAGGTGGGAGGACCCAAAGGAAGCTTCAAGGGAGCGGAGGAGGGTATCTCCTGCCTGAAATACGTAAGAGGTAAGACGTAAATGAAGCTGTAGCAATAGCACATTGAGGGCTTCCTGACAGCCGAGGTCAAACCATGCGCACGACACATCCAAACTACCAGCTTCCTTGGATAAAGACAGTACCTTCTGTGCTTTCTCAAAAACTTGGGTTTTCTGAGCATCATTGCAGGAATGTATTTCTGAGGCTTTAGAAACGGACAGGCTGACAAAGCTATGGTCAGATGCTAGACCGAGGGATCCAGAAGGGAGGTGCGTCTCACTCACAATGGCAGTGAGCAACTCAGAAGCTCAGGTGCACTAGGCCAAGCCCTCCCCAGTGGCTCGAGCGCTCACTCCCCCCGCGGGAAACCTGGGTGCCCGGGCCCACATGCGTCCAGGTTACGGCTTTGTTGCCGGGACACAGGGCCATGGCTGTGGAGGAAGGGTCCCTGGAATGGCCTGCAGCCGAGCTCCCAGCACCCCCAGCACCGTGCCCCGCCCCCCACTTTCTCTTGGGGAACTCGTGGCTCCCTTCCTAAGTCAGAGGCTGTCCCCCGCCAGCCCTGCAAGCTCCGCTTGGGTCCCAGATATTGAGTTCTGAGTTCTGTGTCTTACATAAGAGCTGAATTAGAAGGTGAGGAAGTACGCGGAGAGAAACAAGCGTGGGATGCAGCTCGGCTTTCTCTTGTGATGCTGGTTTTTACAGCTGCGACTGTTCTGGGCCGAGTCCCGCCCGGTCAGCAGATACAACCGCACAGGCCGAGCCTGGCACAGAGGAGGGCCCACCCTGGTTGGGGTGGCGCGGGTGTGTGGAAGGTGCAGAGAAGGCACGCTGGGCTCTGGAGGAGGAGGGTGGGCAGCCCTGCAGAAGCGGGGACAAGCTGGAGGAGGAACGAGGAGCAAAAGGCAGACGCCCAGGCAGCCGGTGTGAGGGAAACCAAGGACTTGTGTGTCCGGAGCAGAGAAGACCAGGAAAGGCTGTGTTAGACAAAGCCCAGGGGCCCCTGGGCCACAGTGTCAGGTTTGGGAAGGGACAGAGCTGGCTGGTCAGGGCCGAGGCCGGGATGGCGGCCATCAGGGGGGGTGGCGCTGCCAGCTGTGGCCCCAGGACCCTCGGCTCTACTTCCTCACAGGCGCCCCGTGACCGTGGTCTTCAATCCCATCAGCAGAACAGCCTCGCAGCAACATTGAGCTGAGTGGATACATACCAGGGGTGGTGGCCCAGGCGTAGACACCTAAAAGGGACTTTCACGCAGGGAAGGACCTTGGGGTGGTGAGGGCTCTGAGCGGGGGACAGGACGGTCCTTTGTCAGCAGGCCTCTGTGGCCGTCCAGGCAGAAGGACCATCCAGGAGTTGGGACGTGTCTGGCACGTGGAGCCCACAGGATGGGCTGAGAGGCAGCATGGGTGTGGAGTGGGGAGTGGCATGGACACAACAACACTCAAAGGAGCAGGAACAAGGCACGACAAGGAGGTCCCAGGGTCGTGTGGCAGCCTTTCAGGCCTCCACAGACTGAGTGGCAGTGCTCCCGCCATGCACATGGGCTCAGCAGGAACTAAACGTGCAGCTGGATAGCCGGTTTACAAACCTATCCCCCAGGGATCCTAGCATTCTGGCGTCCTGGGCCCTGACCCACCAATGGCTCTGACAAGGGGCGTGCACACAGTGCGCCCTCCGCCAGCCCGGCCACCAGGCCTCAGGGGCCGTGCACGCCCCCACACAGAGCCGCACGCCAGGCACCTGGGTGGTGCTATTTGAAGATGAGTCCCCGTCTTTCTGGAAACTGGGTTTGCTTAGGTCACAGCAGTGCCAGAGACACAGCCCCTGGCTGCAACTCTTTGGCACATTCAAAGAGCCACGTGCCTGCTGTCCAGACCTGAGCATGTCTGACCTACGGCGCGGGCGGGAAAGCGGCACGATCACACGACAGCCCCGTGAGCGACGCTCCGTTCCCCGCACCCCTCGGAATCCAAGAGTGGGTCTCTTTAGAGACTCAAACCAGGCAGAGAAGAAAAAAACAAAATAATTAAAATGTCATTCAAGTTCTAAGCTGATATGAGACACTTAAAGATCTGAGACATTCTTCCGGGAGCGGAGAGTAATTATATTCCTCCCCATCCACTGACTTCTCCCTATAGTGCAGATGTCAGATTTTCCACGGATTTTTCCTTCCTGAGTGAGCGTCAAAGGAACAAAGACTTCTGTCAGCCTTTTTCAGCCCAAAATTAATTCTGAAAAAATGGCTCAGACAAGCCAGTACCAGGCCAGACCTGAAGAGAGCCACGTGACCCACAGCTGTCCACCCCTGCTCTCTGGGGAAGGGAGGATGCGAGGTGCTGGGACATTCCAGGCTGCCAGGGCAGGCTCAGGCCTTGCGGGGAGTTGGGGGCAGGGGGCAGGAGCATGAAGGCCGCCGCCCAGGGACACGGACGGGCCTCTCCGGATGCTTGCGGTTCCCAGGACGTGCTTCTGACACCCCCATTTGGAGACAGGAGGCCCAAGGCCTTGCCGCAGGAAGGACATCTGTTTCTCCATGCTGCATGCTTCACCCCGAGCCAAGGGTGAGGAGGGGCTGCCAGGCCTGCAGCTGCACCCAGGTGAACGGCCTCCTCATAGGAAGCCGTCTGCAGCAAGCCCATCCTGAGTGCACCCTGCCCCCCGCTCTCTCACTAACAGGGCTGCCTCCTCCCTCTGCAAACGCGGGGACTGGGCTACGTCGGGGCTCCTTCCCTCAGAGTTCCAGAAGCCTCAATGACCCCGGGCCATGCACACTAACGGGCTCATGGGGTTCAGGAGGATGCCTGTGGGCAGGCCTGGCAGTCTGGGACGCCACTCAGGCTTCCTGCAGTCCCTCTCCTCTGGGGGCTGAACAGGCAAGTGGGGGGAGCTCTACGTCTTGGGTGAGTTTGAGATTCATGGTCACGTGCCCCCTATTTGGCACTGGGGTCACAGGCATACGTGGGCACCTCTCAGGGCTGACCTGTCTCCATGCCACCCTGGCCCCTTCACGCTCGCGCTGTCTCGGGGTGCTGTCAGCACTTGCCTGGCCCAAGAATAGCCATAAAGAAACCACCCTGAATCCAGCGCGCACAGCGCAGTGAACGCTGCCGGCAGGTGCCGGAAACACGGGCTGGGGGGGGGGGGGGGGGCCGGTGACTGATGGTTTTGCGTCGTCTCCGAAGTTGGCGTCTCTGCCAGTGGCCGGCCGTGCGAGGGGCTGCAGGGAGCAGGGGGGACACCACAGGCGCTCGCAAGCCACAAGGACTCGATGCCCATTTAGGCCCAGGCTGTTCCGAGCCAAGTGTCTGGAGATGGAGACAGGAGCCAAGGGGGCGAGTGTGGGGCTGTGAGCAGGGGCTGAAGCGGAGGCCAGGGTCCAGAGCACCACAGACTGCCCTTTCCAGAAGTACTGGAGTGTGTGGTCTGGCCCCCTGCGCGCTCACGGGAAAGCCCCTTGCTTCGCGGTCCGTGTCCGTGCGATGAAGCGGCTCGGAGTAAGTGCTCTCCTGTATGGGGATCCCAGGATGGGACGGCAAGGACCTGGTGACCCCCACTCGGGGTTGGCCTTCACGGGGGTGCACTGCACTCACTCCAACAGTTACCTCATTACGTCTGACAAAATTTTACTGGCGGCATCTGACTCCGAGGAGGGGCCCTGACTTATCTCCCTGGTCCGCAGCTATTGGCTGAGGTGGTTAGCAGCGCCTCTCCCGAGCCCCCGTGCCGGCCACGGTCCGACCTCCATGGGGCTGCAGCACCTCAGCAACATAGGAGGGGAGCACACGAACAGGGAAACTGCTTCCGGGGCAATTCCAGTCCACTCACAAGGCAGCCACTGGGCCTCCAAGGCAACGGGAATCTTCCCTCCCACAGAAGTGGTGTGAGTCTCACGAGGGAGTGGCTTGGACACCGCGGCAGCAAACAGCTCTGCTGCAGAGCAGACCCGGGGGTCCCGTGCTCCGCACACATCCAGAAAACTCGCTGCACAACCCCCCCCCCCCCCGCCAGCCACGCCAGAGGCTCGACGGCAGCAGCACAGACGGGCGCAGGTCAGGATGTAAAGAGAAGCACGCTGCTCACTCCCGGCCCTGTGCCCACACACGGCTTCCACTGGGCATCAGTGGTCGGGCAGCTGCCTTCGCTCTCTGGGGCGGGGGGCCCCCAGGCCTGGGGTGGCTGCATTGTTATGCCTTGCTTACCACCCCCAGGTGTGCGGAGTTTACCGGGCTGCACCTCACAGCAAGGGCCGTGAGGAAAACGTAAACCCCTGACACCCTCTTAATCAAAGGTTGAGCTATAACTTAACATGAAACAAAACACACGCATTGTAAGTGTTCAGTTCAGTGTGTCCTGACAATTGCACACAATCAGATGCCCGTCATCCCAAACAGGATGCAGCCGCCATCCCACAGAACGTTCTCTGGGACCCCTTCCCAGGCTATTCAGGCCCCGCTCACCAGGAGGCAGCTGCGGCCAGTGCCAACTCTGTCTGCTCCTGGACCACCCCAGACGGCCCCTTGTACGGACGTGCCCTTTACACCATGCTGATGGACCTTGGTTGTTTCCAGGTCTGGCTGTTGTGAACAGGTTTGCAGGTGCGTGCAAGCTCCTGTGCAGACACAGGCTCTCCTTTCTGCTGGCAAACCCGCAGGAGTGGGAGGCCGGCTTGCAGGGCAGTCTCGCCTAGTGGGGCCTGCCGACCGCTCTTCGCGAGGCTGCATCCCCTCCCCAAACCAGCGCTGTGCCCCATGGGGTGCCCGCCAGCAGGACGTGCTGGTCCCACAGTGGACTCCTCAGATCTCCGTCCTCCAAGTGTGTTTGAGCTTAATGCTTGCCTTTCTACTGCGGTTTCTGTGTTCTAGATGTTAGTTTTTGGTTCGGCCA